TGATAAGTAATCTTTAGGACTAAAATATCAATTTCACTTTGTGTGCAAAATATGGAAAAATGGCTCTGGCAGTGAAAGGGATACAGTAATTACAGCTATGCTTTAACCCTTTTGCTGCCAGTGATGTATGTCGCTGGCAGCAGGCCCCTTTAACCTCCCTGGCGGTATGATTTTTTTATTTTTTTCATGTGATTTTTCGGCCTATTTTTTTTTCAATTTTTTTTTGTCTTTGTCGTTTTTTGTTTTTTTTAAATATCCCGCCGGTTCCGTCCCCCTGCGACGCGTACGCTCGCAAGGGACGGAACCCGGAAGACGTCATCGCGGCTCGAGGGACAAGGTAAGTAAATGCTATGCGGCTGTCCCGATTGTAGCTCGGGGTTACCGCTTATTGTATGGAAAAGTAATCCCGAACTACACTCGGGAATACCGCCAGGGAGGTTAAACAGACTCCCAGCGGCCTCTGATTAGCTGTGTAAAGCCGACGGTCGGCTTGTAAGTCCGCCTATGTGATAGCGATGAAGTAAAGTAAAAATACAAATTTCAAAGTCACCCACCCTTGCGTACGTGTGCATACTAACGTAAACATGTGTCGGCTGCACCTATACACGCAAACGGCGATTAGTCTACACATGGGTATTGCCGCATGCTCCAGAGTGAGAGCAGTAATTCTAGGGACAATATTAATGGTTAACTCTAAACTGATGACCTGTACGGGCTATTAAATCGATGCCTTTGGACAGTTTGTGGTACCTTTGTTGCCATTTCACTTGTGCAGGCAATTTGTAAGCTTGGAATGTTGGGTATCTCGGCACAACCTCACCTTTTATATTTTACTCTCTGTCTTAACAAGGGGTTTATGATCTAGAAGCAGTGTATGTTAATGAGGGGAAGCTCAGTTTGTCCGTGGTCATTCTATGGGGACACAATTGATGGAGGTGCCCTCCGCACACCTTTCAGCAGTCCCGGCCAACAATCAAATAAATGGTGCTCGAAGTAACTTCACGGATGGCACCGTGCAAAACACAAGATTGAAGAAAATAGGTCACCAGCACTCCATAAGTTAAAATGAATGAGTCCTTTTAATGGACAATGATGTCACAGAAATCCAACATGAGCCGACGTTTCGGGGCCACACAGGGTCCCTTCTTCAAGGCAAGAGATGTGACACATCTCTTGCCTTGAAGAAGGGACCCTGTGTGGCCCCGAAACGTCGGCTCATGTTGGATTTCTGTGACATCATTGTCCATTAAAAGGACTCATTCATTTTAACTTATGGAGTGCTGGTGACCTATTTTCTTCAATTCTATGGGGACAGACACAGTTTCCTGCCACTTGGAAAATAAGAGAGACGCTTGCAAAGGCTACATCTAAAAAGTCAGAAATATTGAGAAAAAAATGTTTTTAGGTATGTTGTGTGAATAGGAACACAAACATATATTTGGGTTTTCCTAAATTTGACTGCAAAGGTGCAAATACACTTTAGGCACGGTTATGGTTGCCATAGGCAACGTTGCCAAATTTTTCTTCTTCTTCCATGCAAAGCTCTTTACAAAAAAAGAATAAGTTCCATTCAGAGAATCATCTGGCGAACTCATCTTTTAAAGTGAAGCTAGCTGAGGTTACACGACAGATGTGCAGCTGAAACAACACTGGGATTGAGCTGGACACCGGTCCAACGTCCGGCTTTCCTCATCCGCCTCAAGTGGATGCTGAAGGAGGTTGCTGTGACATCGGCCTGTCCATTTAGATGTATCATACGGAACAGCTGAGCGTTCCAACGCTGTTGGGAATGCTGCTGCTCACACAATGAGGGCTCTGTGGGAACGCACTGGGGAAATCTTGAGATAGACAAATGGAAGTGGGTGGGAGGAGGCAGCACTATTGAAGGCCTCTAGTGTGTGACAGCACATAGCTTTCCACCTACAGTCAAAATGTTAACAGAGAGCCCAGTGCACAAAACCAATCCTATGATGTGTGGGGGAAAATGGCCATTATCGGGCTCCAAAGCCATCTAATAGGATTATGTGTGTTTTTTTAGTGTAATTTTGATGCAGCTCCTGTCGATGTCCTTAGGAATGTATTAAAGAAAACATGTACTTCTAACCCTATTATTGATAATTCCCTTCCTACACATCCCAAATTCCCTTAAAGATGAACTCCAGGCAAACATCTAAATACACATCTGAAATAGATATATTGGAGCCGTTTTATATGTCAAAAGCTTTGTACTTCTGTCCATCCATTCCCAAGATTTATGGTTCATTAACACCATGTGCATCGAATGGCGTTTTTCTGTACCAGATCAATGCCAGTCACAAGGCCACATAGAAAAATGTGTTCACCCCACAACATTGCCTTGAGGTGGGTTGCAGTGTATTGTGAAAAAATGCAGATGTGCTGCATTTTTTCACAACACGTAGTACCTTACATCAGCGCCAGTCACCGCACCGCAGCTGGGCTGCAGTAGATACAGATGCATCAAATGTCACTTTGACATTTTAACCATGTGTAAAAGAAAGAAAAAGGTAAACAGTACCTTGCATTTTAACAACCCAAGGCACCGCACCCTACCGGTAGCACACAACGGCCACCAGCTGGCACGCAAAAAACAAATTGCTTTAGCATACAGCCTGGTGTGCACCAGGGCATATTGTGCACAAAAGTGCGTGCTTTGATACACGTTCATGATATGTGCACAGACGTGGAACACACTTGCGTTGCCATTACTATGTAATGGCACAACAAACGCATGTTGCCAAATTTGCGACATGTACTACTGTTCTGCGTTTAGTGCACATCCAGGGTGCCAATGGGGATCAATGGGAACGCACGCCAAACGTGGGAAACAAAGTTCCAGCTATGCCCTGATGTGAACGGGGCCTCACTGCAGGTCACTAAGCTGGCTGTGCTGTCTGGCAGGGCTGTGACGTGCTGCAGCAGGGACCAGGTCACCTCCCTGTCCCAAGCCTGTGTTCTGTCACAGCCCCGAATGAGAATCAGAACCACATATGACTATACTTTTTCTGGTTCAGCAACTCAAACAGCATTAGGGTCAAAGCATCAGAATGACAGCCAGGACAACTAGCATTTTCAAAGGAGACTTCAGTGATGACAGCCTCCATTAATCACATCACATCACAGTGTCCCTGTAAGTGTACATCTTCTTTAATTCCTACCGTCTATTGCTTCAGTGGCTGTCAAATGCCTGTTGGCATGTATGAGACAAACCTTGCCATGGTAGAAAAGGAAAAGAAGGGGTCACTTGGTTTACTGCCCTCACATTGAATCCATTGGTGGAAATCCTGTCTACAGTTTATTAAAGGGGAACAGTTGTTGTTTACATTTGTTTTGTGTATACATGTGAAAGAGGTCAACTTTATATAAACAGAGATAATTATGTATTTTGTTGTATTAAAACACTTGTTGCTATGTATAGTTTGTAATTATAGATATACACAGGAGCAGCCCTATTTGCTCATTACATATGCAGGCTCTGCTTCCTCCTTAGAAGTGACTAGTGCTTTGCTGGCAGGGTGTGTCAGAATGAATAAGACATACTTTCCACAGTTTCTGCAGAGAAGCCGGTTTATTATTTTAACATTCCTGTAGCTTAACACAAGCATGTCAGTCACGTTTTATGCTAATGCTGCTGTTGCTGAGTAATCAGCAGTTGAACACAATCAATTTTTATTTTTTAAATTATAGTGGAAATCAGCATATATGGACTTATCAGAAGCTTCAGAAGTCTACATGAAAGAATTTCTGATATGTCACAATATAAATCAACAGTACCATTTAAAAAATAAAATAAAATTTGAATAGTTTATTAAAAAAAGGTTTCTGATATGTCACCATATGCTGCAGGGAGGAGGAAGCACTTACTTAGTCTCCCCTCCCTAACACTAAGACTGCACATTGTAATTTTGTATCAAGTCACAAGATGATGGAAGGTATCATGGGTGCCGATCTGTGTTAAATCTGTTCACATTCAACCAAGAACATAGAGGGTAGACAGGGTTTACATGATTGTGGCATGTATGTGGCAGAGTGTGAATGCTGGCCAAGGCTGATTCCTGAACATAGATAGTTCCAGCCTGCTGCCTATGACATACTCCAGACTGCCCCACTTCATATGCTGTGCTGTATTTTAACATACAGCAGGCTGCCCAACTCTGTACTGCACATAATATACTTCAAGCTGCCCCACTCCTTACACTGTGCTGTGCTTTACATAGCTCAGACTGTACCATTCTGTACCCTGTACTGCACATGACATACTCCAGATTGCCCCACTTCATACACTGGGCTGTACTTAACATTAAACATGTGCAATTCGTTTTGTTCTGAATTGAAATTTTTATGACTTTTCAGAAATTCGGACATTTGGATGCATTGGAACTTCCGAATGACAAAATAACGAATACGAACGTATCCAAATTTTACAAAGTGTAATTCTGAATGGATTTATGTTGTTATACGTTAAAATTAAATTTAAAAAAGCGTGGAGTCCCCTCCCCAATTCATACCAGACACTTTTGTTCTGGTAGGAATTTTAGGGGGGACCCCAACTTCACCAGCTTCTTCTCTGGCTATAGCAGCTAGAGAAATGATAACTAAAGGTGGAAGGGATGTAATACACATCACTTCCGCTCTCAGAGATTGGAGGAAAGATCAGCAAGTAGGAGAATCTCCTCCTTTTACACTGTGCCGGTCCCGGGCCCGCATTGGGGACAGCGGAGCCAAGAATAACCTGCAGCAGCAGTGGAAGGGAGGGGTGCGCGGCAGCAGAGGTGGGAGGCTGCACACTGTTTTTCTCCAGAAAGGCATACATACATGTAAGACAGCAAGCAGTTAACATACACCAGGTTGCCCCACTCTGTACTGCACATAATATACTCCATAATGTCCCATGCCATACATTGAGCTGTACAGAGGGGGCTGTTAGTGGGGAAGAGGGGGGCAAGCATAACAAAATATATACATTTGTAAGTTGTACTTACTTTTAGCGCTTTCAAGTTTTTCCTTTAAGTCGTCTTCATCCTTGTATTTTTCATCTGACAGATATTCCTGAAAGACAGGTAATTGACATTAGTCCTTTAAACATTCAAAATTCCTGCCAGCTTAATATACACATTTAGACATATTTAACAAGAAGAGGTGACGTCCAAAGTTCAGTAAACCAAAACAAGCAGATTTGACTTTACTGTAGATGAGTGGGCAAGAAATGGATGACATGGCGCTGCTCTTTAAATGGACCCCACAGTCTCCATACTAGGGTTGCCACCTTTTTTTCAAGCGAAACCCGAACACTCTAGTGACGTGCTGTCATTTTTTGGGGTGAATGAGTCGCGGCTTGTTCATATGTAAATAGCGCCACCCATTAATTTGTAAATATCATAGTTGAGACTATTTTCAGTGGGGGACCAATAGCCCTTATCCTCATTTTGGTTGCCCCTGTCTGCCTGACATCTCGTGTCCGGGTTTCTGCTGCCATGAAACTCGGACACATCATTGAAAACCCGGACTATCTGGGTGAATCCTGGACAGGTAGCAACCCTACTCCATACAAGTAACCCCAATCTGATGCCTATGATCAACGTCACAGATTTCCTACTACAGATGAAGATTGAGGCCCCCCAGTCACAGCTTGGAGGAGGACAGAGGACCTATCTGTGGCATATCATCATATAGAGGTCAAGTTTAAGTGGAAAATAAAAAGCTGCTTTCATTTTCTGACTTGCACTTGTGGAAAGAAATGCCTGGCTCTTGAATGGTCAGATAAGCATAACTATTCCCATGACAGTATACATTAATGTTGAGTGTTTGGTGAGTATTATTAATACAACCACTTGTAATGCTCTGCTCTGCCTTTCATATAGTTTATGGTCTTTGAAGTGTCACCCTCTATAAACAGCTCTTTAATCAGCAGTGAATACCTATGAAATAAAACAAAGGAAGCACTTTAATCCAGTTGTAAAGGAAAGGTGACATTTACTGTATAATATATAAACAGAGTGCTGTTATCAGATTGGCAGGAAAAGCACACAGTTTTTTTTTAGCCCTAACTCAATGAGGGCAGAATAGTAGTCAGTTGTATAGGCTAAAGCTGGCCATAAACTGGGTGCCCCATGGGGCTGAACGAGATAAAACGCTCACTTTCTCCATCCACTCTAAAGATCTTGGATGGGGGAATCTCCCCTGCCAGCTATTGTATTTTGACAGCAGAGTCAGCAGAACTTGGCCAAAATTCGAGCATTGTATGAGGAAGGAAGCTTTAATAAAATGAAGTAGCCCAACACACAGAATACAGTGCAGAAAGTTGAAATATAAATGTCTTACTGTTGTAGGCAAATAAATTCCCAGTACCAGTCTAAACTCCTCTCCTCCTAGCATTCAGCTGTAGAGAGGACCACTGTTATCTGTGTAAAAGCAGCGGCCTCTCTGGAGTGGTCTGACAAGACACTCCTTCCCATCACGAGTCATTGCTAGAGCTCTGCATTCAATGTTCATATTTCCCGAGCAGGGGGTGGGGATTGTGTTGAATCTCTGCAGGGAGGCCACTGTTTTTACACAGAGACAACAATGGTACTCTGCAGCTGAATGATGGGGAGAGGAATTTGGACAGGCACTGAGGAGCAATTTAATTATTAAGACAGTTCAGTATCAGCTTTCTGCACAGTCTTTCCTGTATGTTGCTACATTAAAAAAATTAAAAAAGCATTCAATTCAACTTTGAATAAAATTTCAGGCAAAACGTTTTTTGGCTGGAATGGGGAAAGGTTACATTCCTGCGCAGGTTTTTATTACTGTTTATGTGCCCTTCATTTCCCATAGACACAACAGAAAGTGCGAGGGAATCCCCCTAAAGAGAAGGATACATGCCATATATAACCAGTGTTTGCTATTTATGTGACAGATAATTAAAGGACCCTTCACAGTCTGTTTGCAGAATGTTTCTAGCTGGAAATGTTGTGCAACTCGAATCTTGCATCCCAAAAACGCATTTTAGAAAAGCAGTTGGGATGAAGCTTTGCTGTGACTTCAGGCAACCTGCCCTTACTTGGCAGGACATGCAAATGACAGTGCCATAGGCTTCTTTTTAAAGTAAGTTAACTGTCCCTTTAAAAAAGATACATGAAAGAATTTTCCTCATTGTCCTGTATTCTCATCCTCTCTCTGCATATATTACAGACACAGCGGTCCCTCTGTCGCTGACACTGCCTGGCTCATTGTGTCCCCCAGCTATTCATGGCTTCCATTCTCTAATCTCATTCTTCAGTCCTTGCAGATACTGGCGGGGGTCTGCGCCGAGGTTGTGGGAATGCCAGGATGTCCTCGGGTCCGTGCTCAAACTTGCCAAAATGTCTCTGCACACTTCATTCTCCCACCAAAAGCAGGCACAGATCAGCTATAAGAGCTCCACTGCAAAATGCCACAATCCACAACAACCAATCATGTTTCAGCCAAATTAGGATATGAACATTCTGATTTGTTGCTATCGGTAACTGCGTTGTTCACTTTTCTATTTCGACAGACCAAATACAATTACTGATCAAGGCACACATATTTACTCGGCCCTAGAGGAAATCAGTATGAATGACTGTTCCCGCTCACTTTGTCTCTGCCAGATGGCAGGTACCCTGAAGACACTCCCCCTTTCGTGTGGCCGCTCCCATGCAGATGTAATTGTATATAATGCAGCTCCAGCAGTGTCTGCTGTTCCTGCATTGTATGTGGGGACATCAAAGACTATCCACATTCTGGGATGGGAGAGAATACTCTCTGTTAGATGTCCCCCTAGACTAAGGGAGCAGTACTGTCCCCATTGTCTGTATTACATGCCCCTTAGACTAAAGGAGCAGTACATCCTCTATATAACATGACCCCCCTAGATTAAGCAAGCAGTACATCCTCTATATTACATGCCCCTTAGACTAAAGGTGCAGTACATCCTTAAACACTTAAATTAATCCTAACCTCATCTATGCCTTAAAGCAGGGGTGCCCATAAGGTCGATCGTGATCTACCAGTCGATCGCGATGTCCTTCTCTGAGGGGGGGGGAGCCGCTGTCACAGAAGTAAGGCCGAGCAGTGAGGAGAGAGAGAGAGACGCTCGGCCAGGATCTGACAGCCGGCGGCTCTCTCTCCTCACTGCGTTCCCTCCTCCGATGTCCCCACGGCTGCAGCTCTTCTTTTACTTCTCCTCGGATCCCCTGCTGCCTCTGCCCAGGACAGAAGCGGGAATCCAGGGCCTGGGGTTGTATTGGAGTCAATGGCACCGCAGCCATGCGCGGGGGGCCCACAGTGTGATCGCCAACCTGCATTCCGGTCCAGTGTGATCTGCAAAAAAAGTGCTTGCAGCATTTTTGCAGATCGCACTGGACCGAAACGCTGTAGCTCGCGGTATACTGAGCTTAGGGTGACGGGAGGACGCTAGTTTGTGTCCTCCCGTTACCCTAAGAAGAACTATGGGGAAAAACACTGACCCCATATTTCTCCTTTAATCAGCATTGGAAATAGCTTAAAACCATTTAACTTTAATATCACTTTAACTTTAAAATACTTCTTTTGCAAAGCTATTTTTTATATGTAGTTCATTTATGCAGCTTTTCTTGCGGGTGCAGAGCTTTCCCCTAACGTCTGGTTAAGGAAAGTGCATACCCGCTCTCATGCCGGACTACATGTCGCATGATCCCGCAAGGCTTCCTTGAAAATGCACTTTAGACAGTTTATATGTTCAAGTGACACTATAATCTGTTCAGTTGTATACTATATGTGTTTGCATGCTCTTCTGTGAAGGAGAAGAAGAAAATAGTTACATATTACATAGTTAGTCAGGTTGAAAAAAGACACAAGTCCATCGAGTTCAACCTATAGAGGTATAAAAAAAAGAAGAAAAGCCTAAACAGAGCGCTAAATGTCAGGGGTTTAACCCTCCAGCATCTACCAAAACACTAAAACAGACAATCTGACCCTTTAAAATGTACTTGCTGATTAAACACTACACTTTACCTTTAAGCTTGGTGGCCTTTTAATTCAGCTCGACGAAGCTGCTCAATAGCGTATTTCTGAAATATTCTATAAATAGAGCTTATTCAGACTTTTTCCTTATAAGTGGAAGATTGGCAATGGTCTGGGCCTTTTTAGATTACTGGATTGTCTGGTTATCCCATCCATAAGACAGATAACACCAGATGCTGATAAGACTAATATTGTATCTCAGTAGCGCGGATATAAATTAAGATTCTTGGGTGATATAGTACAGCGGACTAATATGTCTGGTCAGTAAGAGGATAACCTCAGGGCCCATGCCGGAGATAAGCTTTGACAGTGGATCCTGGTGCAGGTGTGATGGAGATGTGATAATGAGAAGCAGGCTGACAAAAGTCTTCCTCATACTCCTCTCCATTCTATGTGGGCGAGTTATATTTTCCATATAAGGACCCTGATGCCTATGCCCCTCAGGGACCCGGTTCCTTGCTGGTATGCCAAATATGCAGACTTTCAACGGCTCTGTCTGCCTGTGTTATAAGGCAGTATTCCCTACTGAAAGCATGATTGCTCAAAGGATGCAATTCTTATCAAGCATTAAAGTGGACCTTTACCCTGAAAAATAACTATATGCTCATTAAACTTCCACCCCCTCTGCAATATAAAATCACCTTTTTTGGGGGGTTTGTTTACCTTTCTTTCATTTCTAATTATTCACATTCACAATTCGGTATGCCATACTTTTTTTAAGCAAACCACAGTGTCACCTGTGACATTTCAATAAAAATATAAAAGTGTGATGCGGCTCGATCAAGTGCATCGGTACTGTACGGGCACACGCACACCAGCAGCTGTGTGGTTGAGCACGGCTGCTGGAGTGAACAAGCCCTCAAAGAGGTTTGGTGCTTAAGGACTCATTCACACTGGAATCGGCCCGCACGTACAGCTCCGTGTACTACCATAGAGAAGGACGGGGGCTGCGTACTAATCACACGCAGCACCTATCCTTCCCGGGAGCTGCCTGATATGGCCCTGCATGCAGCACGGAGCTGTACGTGTGGGCCGATTCCAGTGTG